ATCAGTACAGGAAGATTAAGAAATTGAAGCAGTTTGTGTCAAGTGATATTTCTTGAAAACGCTACCCGATTAATATTAATGAGGTGGGTGATTTTCATCTCCAGCATTTCACATTAGCTGCTAGAATTGTAGACTGGAGGATCGCCACAAATGTTTCAGTTGATGCCACGCTCAAAAGGTTTCACTGTAAATGAGAGTTCTGCATCGCTCGTTCTGATAATTCTGCCCGGACCTCAAAGCTGCCACTGATAGTGCAAACCCAGTGATCACCAAGTTGCTTTTCCCGGGTCGTCTTAGCCTAAACACTCTGTGAGAAGCTGCAAACGTAGCACAGCAATGGACATGATGTAGAGAGGTGTTATCTGGCTATCAGTTGTCAGTCCTGTTCGGCTGGTAGGGCTCTTGCCTCTGACCCAGAAGGCTTGTGGGTTCAAGCCTCACATCGGGATTTTAAACTCTCATACTCTTGACTGACACTCGGATACAGTTTTTGGGGTGCGCTGCTTTGTTGGAGGTGCCATCTTTTGGATAAGATGTTAAACTGAGGTCCAGTCTGACTTTTCAGGTGGACATTAAAGATCCCATGATACTATTCGAAAGGTAAAGGGAGTTTCTCGTGTGCCTTGCTCAAGAAATCCCCTACTTTAAACCTCCAACAATGCAACGTTCTCCCCCAGCACTATATTGGAGTGTCCGCCAAGACTATGAGCTCAAAGATCTGACATGAGGCCTGAGTCTAGGACCTTCTAACTGAGAGACAGGAGAGCTACCAACTGAGCCAGAGACCTAAGATCAGAGGAATTTCTCTCTCTCTCTCTCTCTCTCTATATATATATATATACACACACACAAGGTGACCAAAAAGTCATGATACCATTATAATGTCTAACAAGTCTTAAAGAAATTATGTTTTATATTTTAGATGATAGGGTAGTTTCATGACTTTATATATGTATATATATATATACACACACAATATTTTAATGGCACTCAGCAATATCCACCTCACTTGAATGTATTCTACTGTTTTTCATTCTGTTATTTTAGACATGTAGAGCAAACAGCCTCTGAAGGGAGCCCTGAAAATAACTCGCCAATGCTGTAACGCAGAAAACGGCCTGTTTGTTTTTTAGCAGCAATTTATATCTATTAACACTAGTAAGAAAATACACAAACCCTGGTGCAATTAATGTTAGCGCAGGAGCGTGGGGGTTAAAAAAATAAGTTACAATCAATTAAGCAGCGAGTTCTCTCTTTACATCCTGGTAAATGAGTACGGTTTTGATGCTGGTTGTTATAGTTACACAGTTTGGGGTTTCAGTGTCTGACGGCGATGAGGGACTGAAGGCAAATCACAATACAACACACAAACCCAAGGAGAACTGCTTGGAGGGAGAGTTAATGGGATCCAGATGGTGTCCACACACAGCACATCACCAGTTAGTGCTAGATGCAAACTACATTAGAGGCGATGTTTTTGCGAATATAACTCAATGGGGGTAGATCCAAAACAAGAAATATTCTGGTTGCAGGGACGGCTGCAATAATAATAACAATATTCTGTAAATATTATGACAATAAACCTTGCATTTAATCTGGATCCTGTCTCAAAGAGCTTCACAACGTGTCTGTAAAGGTGAAATGGCCATGTATTTTAGGCAAGCACGAGCTGTTTGCTTATTTTAAGGTGGTGCCGCATATTTAGTAAAGAAAAGAGCAGCTTACTGCACTCTGAACCCAGTCAAGATGGAAAGATTGTAGGAAGGTGCAACTAGGACCAGAACTGTTTTTTTCAGAAACACCACCCTTCATGCATCGTTTCGACAACAAAATATACAGTCAATTTACTTTACAGTATATTCTGTGAAGCACTTTGAGACGTCTCGAAGAAGTGATAAGGTGCTATATCAAATGCAATGATTAATATTATTATTATTATTATAAGAAGATAAGAATTAGGAGCATGAGAAGGCCATTCGGCCCCTCGAGCCTGCCCCGCCATTTGATAAGATCATGGCTGATCTTCAGACCTAGTTCTAATTAGCTATTGGTCTTCACTCTCCCTGCAGCTTGAAAGCTCTGTGGCTAATGCAGACATGGTGACTTGGATGTTTGGAAACTGTGAAACACGATCATTTGACTTCAGTGATTTGAAATCACAGGAGTTTTCATTGTTAGTGCAACCGGGTGACCAAACCTAAGCATTTGCTGCAAAAACAAGACTGCTAACCAGATATAAATAATAATAATAATCACTGCAGCCGTTCAGCATCATTTATTATTCTTTGGGTGAGGAGAAATTAGTTACTGGCCGAAAAGCCATTCTGTGTCAAAAAAAAGTTCGCTTTTGCTCCTGTGCTGCTTTTAAATGGAAACGTCAGCACACTGTAAAAGGTCTGTGTGTTCCTACATAGCATTGGCATTGTAGATTACAGTGTTAACACAATTTAGACATGGCAATACTGTAATGCCATTTACCTTAAATTCTCCTGTGATAAAATGAGTGAAAACGTTGCATAATGTGCTCAGAAACATTCCATGCACAGCTAAGTTGTAGCTTTCCATTGAAATTGTACTCTTATTCTCTAGCCTCAGAATCCAACAGCCCATGAAATTGCTGTTACTACAGCATACCTGCTATCTATCATACATCTGCTGTCCTGGTCTCATGAAATTCCTCTCTTGTGATGTGGCTGAACTGCTAAGCACCACATTTCCGGGACCGAACCAAGCTGGTCTTTGATCTGCCTGCTGCAACTCACTGTGCTAATGTTTAGCGGATTTGTGAGTACCAGTCAGCACTGGAAGTCAGAAGTGCACCAGAAGTCTGGTACAACATGGATTCGCCACACAACCAGTAACGTAAGGGGACTCGCTCTGAACCACCGTGATGCTGGTGTCAGGCTGCAATCAACTGAGCATCAACTTCTCAAAAAATTAAACTTGCTTAACTTGCACCTGTAAAATGCGCGAGGAAGCTCAGACAAGAATAAACGTGATAAACAGGGAATACACAAATGAGGGAGGTGAAACACCCAGCTTAATGCCAGTGAGAATGATCTGAAAATCTAAGTGTTATTAGCCCCAAGTGAACTGCGGAGTTCTGCTGAATGGGTGCTTGGTATTGAGAGTGTTACTTATCTGCTACACAAATGTGTAAGGATAATGTTTCTTATGTTACCGAGTTATCTTTATTAGTTTTGCATGAGAATTATTACAAAGGTGGAGAGGGCTTTGACACAGCACTATATTATGTGAGCAGCTTCTCTCCTGCTCCCAAGGTAACTCATTTCTCCCTTGACGTTTCTCTGTATAACATTAAGTGGTAAATTTATGGGGCTGCCTTAGTCCTAAATCTACTCATTGTGGAACGGATACAAAGTTCTGCTGTAAATTTGTGGGTCAGTGATTCAACATGATGGCAATATATTTAGAAATACTTTTTCACATCAATCTGGGGAACAGTGTGCAATTTTTAAAAGCTGCTCTGATCATTTCAGTCTTATATAGAGGAGGCAATAAAAATGTCCTCTTCACCTAATAACCCAGCTGAACAGGTTTTGAAGAGAATGAGTCCAAGCAGCTCATCTTATCCTGTGTCTTGTAAAAAAAAAGTGCAAGAGTTATTTTACTCCATGTTGTTCAGATTTTTCCTCTATTTATTTCCATGCACTTACGTTGGTTAACGGATCATTTAAACATACTTTATTTTTCTCTGCTGGTTAACAAATTCAAATGGGTTTCTCTATGATGAGAGGCTAGGCAGACTTGGGCTGTATTGATTGGGAGGAATATGAGAGGTGAGGTATTAAGAGGTGATGAGAACAGGTAAGGGAAATGGTCTGAAAACAATCTAACATTATCGAGTAAACCCGGAGGAACAGCTTTGATGGGCTGATTGGCCTCTTCCTGCTCCTATTAGAAGTGTATGTCAGGGAATCAGCAAGAATCAACTAGGTGTGGTTCCTAATCATGTCTTTGATCAGGACCAAGAGTGACCTCTTAGACATACAAGTGATTTGTCGTTCTAGAATTTAGTATCTCTCTTACCCTGCAGTGAGATTCCAGCTTTTTTCCAGCCCCGCTGAGGTTTTAGCTACTTTCTCAAACTGCCTTGCACACACAGTCACACAGTCTGCTCTTAATCTCTTCTCTCTCTCTCCGTCTGTTCCTAAATCTGGCCACCGAGATTCTGTTATGTCTTGGCATTCAGTAATGTATTCATTACATGAATCATTGGTGTGTGATCAAAGATATTCAGTGCGTTCCACTTAATTTATGTTGTTTGTTACCCTCCACTGTTCTACATTTACGGTTACTTGTACTGCTGAAAGCAACAACTTCCTGATGGGTAACTTCATATACTCTACTGCTCAATAACATCAATGTTTTTCGGTTGTACTGCACCTTGAGAGGGCGTCTGAAAGCATTTCACAGAACTGATCTGGAGCCTGAGCTGGGTTTGGGATGCTACCTTGTGTGAGGGGTGCTGTATAAATGCAAGTAGTTGTTGTTGTTTGGGGGAGCAAAGAAAGGCAACCGAAAGTACGGACAAACAGAAGGATTTTAAGTTGGGCTTTAAAGACAAGGAGGAAGGGGGTGAGGTGGAAAGACTCTGGGATTGAGTTCCAGAGAAGAGGGGTTGAGTGGGGGGGCAGAATGGATGAAAGTTTGCCCATCAATGGTGGGGAGGGTTTGTTAAGGGCCATGAAGCTGTCCGGTCGCTGAGGGGAGGTAGCGCCCAGAGTGGTAGAGTTCCAGGAGGTCGCAGAGGTAGGGTGGGGTGAGGCCATGGAGAAGATCTGAACAATGAATCTCACTGCATAATATTTTTTTCCCCTCCCGACCTGCACTGTCCTGGATGTAAGTAAATGAGTAATTCAGATGGTTTCCCCTTGAGAAAGTCCACTGACTTAGACTGAAATAGAAACGTGAAGCTTTTCGGAGTTATCTATAAAGAGCCAATTTCAAATATCGGAACAGGTTAAAGATACACTCACCTCATAAACATTAAATTGGCTTTGTCCTCTGGCGAGCTCTCGGTAACTGGTTGTAAATTCACCGATGAAGTCGTGGCTGCAATAACAAAGAGGGGACCATGAGAGGATCTTGCAGGAACCATCACATTTCACCAGCAATGCAATGCAAGCACAAGACGGCTGGGTAGAGTGTTAGCACTCTGCTAATTAACAACATTAAAATCAACAAGAGCACGGGCCAGTCTACAAAAATAACTCCAGCACAAAAAACTTCAGATGACACAACGCATGACTCACAAGGCTAATAATAATCATCCTTGTGTCTGACACAGTGCCTTTCACATCAGGAGGAATATACTGGAAATGGTAGGGTATTTTGTAGGTGAACGTGACAGCCAATTTGCACCGAGCAATGTTGCACAAACAGCCGTGAAGTGAATGACCAATTTTATCTGGGGGGATTGTTGGCCAAGACACTGGGAGATACTCTCTTCTGTTTTCAAATAGAACATCTATAATGTCCACCTGAGTAAGCACAGATGAGTACCGGTTTAGCATCTCATCCGAAGGACGGCAACTCCAACAATGTAGCTCTTCCTCAGCACCAGACTGAAGAGTCGACTTAGTGTTCAAAAGTCCTGACCCTTAATCTTCTAACTCTGAGGCGAGAGAGCTACAGTACCAACTGAGCCAGGCTGACGCACATTTACATGGTGCTTAGATAGTGTCATCACTGAAACAAGAATATTAGATCTTTGCACTTATTTAATACATGTGTTAACTTGACCATTGAAGGATATAAACTGTTAAACCAGAGCCTTGTTATTTTTTCTGCTACTGCTTTTGCAATAGGTGAATCAAATGGTCAGGCCATCAAATATTATATAGGTTAGGCATTGAAACCTAACTCCCAATGAAAGCCATGGGTTTTATCTCCCATAGCTTGTCAGTGTCACTACCCTTTGAGTTGTGACTATGAACAGGAAACAGTGGGGGGGAAGAAAAAAGTAAGTTATAGCGTTTCTTTTCAAGGCTCATAGGGCACACTTGCACTCAACGAATTGTTTGCCCCAGCAATTAATTTCCTTCTTTGGAATGCCAACCGAAATGTCAACCAAGTTGGGTGGCGTCTCAACGAGACAATAAGTCTTGGGGAAAATGAAACATTTATGATAAGTCGTTTAATGTCCTGAAATCGAACATTTGACATAGGTATAAACAGAAAGTTTTTTTAAAAATATTTTTTATATGAAGCAAAGTAACTAGCGTTTAGTAACTTAGAAGAAGGGGATAAAATACAGTGTTAACATTTATTAGTTGCCCAAAAATGTCCTTGCTGTACAGAATGTGCTCTTAAAAACTTTGGTGGATTCATGATCTTCCCAGAAATAAATTAATAATTAGCTAGATGGCATGTGAAACTCTCAGTCGAGTTTGGATGCTCTTAAGCACAGTGATGGGTTTCCCACAAGTGTCAGACACCTGGCTAATTAAGCCTAAAAAAATACACTTGTTGCTTCAATAAAATAACGCTAATTGATTTTTCAATCCTTGGGGAACTCATCGAAAAATACATTCAAGTCAATAGGTGAACAAATGAACCAATAGACCTGTCAAAATCTGAATAATCGGTAATTGGTGAAATAATTAGGGACTGAATCGATTTACGTCGCTTTTACGTGAAGTGCCCCTTTCACCTAACAATATGAAACATGTTTTAGATTAGTTCCAAAAACGAAGCTCAGATCTTTGCACGGGGATGGATGCAAAACACGGCACTGTTGCGATTACTGCAATTAACGGAGGTAACTTTTGGAGGTCAGACAGAGATGATCGACGGGAATGAATACTGGACCAACAGCAATTGAAGTGCATTCACAAGTGAAGGAATCATGCTGAGCAAAACACTGTGGTCTTGACCTAGATGCTCAAACTCCCACGCTGTTTCAGCCCTGTCAGGTCTCATGTATTAAATCGGAGAGCAGTAAATCGTGAGGAGACATCATGCGTGTATTTTTGAATGCTGAAGAAAAGAACCAGCACGGATAAATGTTGGGCTGGTCTCCCACTTCAGACTTTCCAGCGAAAGGGTAGAATTAAAAGTGAAGAGTAGTCCCCTGAACTTATCAGACACAGTTTGGCAAGAGCTCAGGTTTGAGGACATCACTTAATGTGCAATGGGGGAACTGCTGGACTGTAACCAGCTAAGACACTGCAAAAAACACAAGACCGGTAAACTTTCTGCTGTTTGTCCAGCTAGGACCACCCTAGCTATGAGCTTTGGCTTGCTGGCTCAGTGGGAGGAATCCAAACACAAGAACAGCCAGATTCATGTTGATTTATTGGAAAAACAGACTGAACCAAAGCATCAAGTGTCCTGTGTAGATGAGGCAACAAGAGCTGGCTTCAGACTAAGTGCCTGATCCTGCGAAATTACAATCATTCAGCAAATGATTCTCTGTATTTCACCTGCCATGAGCATCTCATTTAAAAAAAACATGCCCGCAAGCCTTACCTGCCATCTCTGTCCCAGTCATACACCTCTACCTTGATCGTCCTGTCAGGAGAAAAATGTAGTTAATTAGTGCTCTGCGTCGTACCAGAGATAAGTTAATTATCCTCGATAATTACTTGTTAAAGCTAAGTGTCCCTCAGAATTAATTCTCAAACTGAAAAGCTAACATGCGCAGTCAGTCGATATACATGATAATTTTTTACAACTACAACATCAACGTGCATTTATATAGCCCTCTTCACGCCGGACGCCATCTCGGAGCTAGCGATGGTTCCACAGGACAAACTAGCGGTCTGAGGGTTACATATTTAACATCTGATCAGAGTGAACTTCAGGACTTCACTTAAGGACTATCCCATTGGCAGTCTCGAGAGGTGCATTGACGTTTTGGCACTCAAAACATCAGCCCCCGCACGCCAACATCTGCGCAACACATTGTGATCTTTGGTTTGGTCAGTCAGGCATCGGACACCAGCGGAAACTTATCCCCATCGTGCTTAAGAGTCTCCAAACCAAACGACTGAGGTCAGATCGAAATACATATGGTTTCCGTTTGTATGGGATACAGCTGCACTCTCTCCCTCGGAGTCGTGATACACCTCATCGCTAGTTAAGACGCAGGTTGGGAACTCAAGAGTGTGCATTGGGATTATTGCCAGACTTTATGCATGTTAAAAAATTCGCAGCTAGACAGTGCAAAAACTGGCAAGTTTCCTTGCCTATTCAAATAGGGCTTTAGTTTGCAGAGTTGAGTGGGAAGAATCCTCACTCTCAGGACATTGTGATATATAATAGTGAACTGGTTAGAAATATTACGTGGGTGTGGGGGGGAAGACAGATTTTTTAAAATTATATATGCCAGATAATGCAGTACCTGAAATACATTTATGAATGCCCATTGCAATTTTTTGTCAATAAATTATATCTCTTTCTGATCGTTATTTGCACTAATTGATTTTTTTAAGTTATTGGGAATTAAGTCGGATTAAATGTATTTGCGATGCATTCGAGAACCAAGTGTGTAGATGGCGAGGATGATATAGGGTTACTGAATCATGATGCATCCACTTCCAATCTGCAGCTGTCAATCATCTCACTGTGCGGTGGTTGTCGATTTATTCTGCAGATACGGCTGGCAATTTCACCACTTGGGGGATCGATGCATTGCAAAGGACCGTCGTGAATCAGAAATAATTTACGAGCGTGAAATGGCATTTAGTAGTCAGTAGTGGTGAACGCTTTCCTGAATTCATTATCTGTGCACTTGCCAGTCTTGTTACCGAAAGGTGCTAAACGGAACAGAATCAATGCTGCTACGGAATCAAACTCCACCAGGAATGTATCATAACTTTAAAAGTTTTTCCCCATCGAGATGCTGGCAGTGGCTGCAGACAAACAAGGGTGCACGGCGCAGGTTTGAGTAAGGATAAACCCCCAACATGCGATCAGTTCATGGGATTTCCCCATATTGTAGTTTTGTATAGTGAAAGCAACCCTGAACAAAAGTTTTACCCCGTGGTATTTGATCCCTAGAGTCTGCCCTTATAGCTTTTGGTCACTTGTTTGTTTTCTATCCATTTAAATATGTCCACTGAACAAGGAAAATCATTCATTGCAGGATATTTTACACAGAAGAGGGAATTGGAGTAACTGGCAGGATTACCATCATCTGAATTAATGCACACAAGCAAAAAACCGTGAAGTGCTCCTCTATGTAATATATATACTCAGGTGATTTTCCACTTGTTGGTAAATAGTTGGAGGTGGCGGGCAAGAAGATATGCTTTCTCCATTGGTCCATCATTGTGCGAGGGATATAGATTAACGATAAGATTCAGTCTCATTTTATTCATCTTCTAGAACAGTGCAATTGCACTTAGAACTCTTTAAATCCCGTCTGTTCTCATTGGGGTTTTGCTGCGATATTCATTCGAGGTTTAAATGCTAAACACAAGGGGTTTCAAAACTAGGGGACCGTCATTAAGAATTACTGCGCACTGAAAAATTCCATTAGAAAGTGCGATTGCAATCGAATTGACTGTCCAAAATTAGAGAAATGTATATCTCCAGGCACGAGACAAAACAGCATCGCCACAGCAGCAAAGCCTTGCCCACACACCAATTAGTGCCCTGAAGTGATCTATCACTGTCTAAATCCAACTGTGCTGAATTGCCTTTTAATGTGCGCTGTATCAGATAATGCCCTTTTTCCTCTCCCTACTGTAGTTACGGAGATTGAAAAGTGGACACGACTGCAATCCGTGCAGATAATGACGAAACATCAGTGGGACAATAATGTAGTAATAATATAAATCCTAATAATCCTTGCATTTAATGTAATTGTGATAATCTTGCAGTTGACATAGGGCCTAATCACGTTGTTGAAAGCGTTTCAAGGGATTTTGAGGGTTCAAGGAGTAGGGAAATAAAAACAAGATGCAATATTTAAATTCGCCTCTGCACCTTCTGAGCTATTACGCCTGGAATTAAAGGTGGAGCTGTGGGCAGTGAGGAGCATTGATTAAAAAACGCTGAAGTCAGATCAAGCTGTGCTCGACAGGCCATTACTAGCATGCTACACAGCCCGCTCTGAGACGCCGTCCGGCGTGGAGGGCGCTATATAAATGTTGCTCGGAATGCAATGATTATAACGTGCTTCAAAACAGCATTTGACCACCCTACTCAGCGGAGAGCATCGCTGTACAAAACAAAATGAATTTGCCTCAATTCAGTATGAAAGAGTCAAAGTGATCCCCATCCTCCTCCCCGCATCAGGTTTTAATAATAATAATAAAATCCTTGCATTTGTTAGGTCAGGGTATTAAGGGGCAAGGGTGGGTAATTGGCCTTGAGGTACAGATCAGCCATGATCTTAAAGAATAGCAGAACAGGCTCGAGGGGCTGAATGGCCTATTTGGTATAGATGTCTCAAAGCACTTCACAGAATATCTTGTGAAGTGAATTGATTGTATTTTGTGGGAGAAACAAAACAGACAGCTTTCCAGTTGCATGCAACTCAAACTTTACATCTTTTAATGAGATGATGCCTTCAATGTTACTCTACTCAGCACTAGATCATCTGTCAACAAATGTTATGCAGCTATCATTTCGCCCACAAAATATACAGTCAATTCACTTTACAGTATATTCTGGGAAGCGTTTTGAGACATCTCAAAGACATGATAAGGCATTATATCAAATGCAAGGATTATTATTTATTATGATTATTATTATTGTTATTATTATCTACCATCGTCCCATCACAGCATCATACTATTCCAGTATCCTGCCTTCCATCACCCTGGCAACCTGCTCCAGTCATTAATTACCCTCTGAAAGAAATACTTCCTGATATCTGTCCAGAAATTGCCGTTTGTATCTCTAAACCTGTAACCTTGTTCTACTGTGTCAGTACATCCAAAAGGTATTATTCTGGGGTTACTTTATCAATCCCATTTTGCAATGTTACACACCTCTATGAGGTCTCCTGTGATGCCAGCCTTGCCAGCCTTGCAAGCCTCGCCCACATACTGAGATAAGTAAAGCAAAGGCAAAAAAACAAAAAACACCGCATTGCTTTGTGGCTGTCACAACAGAAAGGGCCTGGCTGATAAATTTCCTGGAAATAGTCCGGAAATAAGTGGGCAGCTAGCTCAGAGAACCGCAAGTAGCAATTTAAACTAATGTGTAGTGCTATTTAATCAACCAGTCTCTCATCAACCAACACAATAATGAGCAGCGGTGGCTCCAAAGAATGGCAGGATGGCTGGGATGGAGCTGACAACTCAGAAGGGAAATATGCAGCCGTGTGTGTAAGGGTAAGTGTAAACAATTCTGGCCTGATACCATTAAGGAGGTATGTCCAGGGTTACTAGTTGAAAGCTAAGTGAGGCGATTTCATGGACAGTGATGGATTTGGAGGTTATGGTGAGGACATAACTCAAAGCTCTCTAACTATATGGACACGTTACAGGCACTGAATACAGGATAGGATGGAGGTAGCCAAAGGCCCCAGTCAAAGAAATGCACTTGCATTTATACTTTACACACATAATAGGCTCCAATGTGCTGTTGTAAACGCAAGTTCACTTGGAGTTGAGTTGAGACTGCTCAAGAGCTTTGGTACAAGAGTCTAGAGGAGCTTCAGCTGGATTTAAAGCCAGGCTATAATAAAAATAATAACCCTTGCATTGGATATAGCGCCTTATCACATCTTCGAGACGTCTCAAAGCACTTCACAGAATATACTGTAAAGTGAATTGACTGTATACTTTGTGGGTGAAAAATGATCCAGTGATCTGCAGATCCATTGCCCCTTTTTGTTTTGTTCAGGTAGGTGTCCAACACAAGCAGAAACCCATCACTGTGCTTAACCAAACCAGAGTGCCACGCGTGGGTGCCACTCACACGTGGAAATTTCCCTGTGTCTGGATTGGAATGAGCATTCTCTCCCTGGAGGGACGTACCCTGCTTTACCTAACTCTGGGAAGTACATTAGGCGCAAGTTGGCAAGAGCCAAAGCTCCATTTACCCCCTAGAATTTCTACTAACTGGTAACTGTAAGCCATGTTGCCTTGGAAGCAAGCGTTTTGAGATTTCTTTTCACTGGGGCCTATTAAAAGATTTCCAGTAAACAAATGTAATGAATTTTTATCAAACATCTGCAGCAAATTATAAGACATGCATCTGAAATAATCTGTGCTCATTAATAATATAAATATCAGGGGACCAATTTAATGACCTGAAATGAACACATCACTCTCCTGCGTCTCATTTTTGTAACACAGATGCCTATGGAGTAACCATGGAGATAGAGAGTGCCACATACACAGATTCTTGGTGTTATCATATAGCCAAAGTAAAAGAGATAGATCAAGATTAATGAGTAATATCAATTATTACAGGGGCAGAGGCTCATCTTTAATTAAATTAAGGACGAGCTTAAATATAACTTGCTATTCCTGCAATTTGTGCTGGAGTTCTACTGCGTGATACAGCTGTATAAAAACATCATTCTGATAATTACAGTGAGAACATAGAAT